ATGTACATATGCAAATATATTTATATATGAGGATGGGGAAATAGATCTATGTGCATATATTTATAGGTTCAGTATGAAGGTAGCAGATGGACACTCAAGTACTCCCTCAACGCAAGAACACTTTGTTCTTTTAAATTGGCATTCCATGATGCCCACCTTCCCAACACAATCGCTGAAGACAAAGCGGGTGCATAAGCAAATGTGCTGAAGAAAGCTGATGGTGCCCAGCTATCAAAAGCTTCAAGCTATTAAAGGCTTGAAGATAAACAAGTGGTCATTTAGCTGAGAATCAACAAAGTCCACATGGAAGAAGCACACCAGCCTGTGTGATCATGAGGTGTTGATGGGATCAGGTATCAGGCATCAAAGAACAAAAGATCATATCATTGTGAATGAGGGGGAATGCGGAGTAGAGACCCAAAGCCAATCTGTAGGCAACTGGACATCCCCTTACAGAAGGGTCATGGGGAGGAGATGAGCCAGTCAGGGTGCAGTATAGCAATGATGAAACATACAAATTTCCTGTAATTCTTTAATACTTCTCTCCTCACCCCCACTATCATGACCTCAATTATACCTTACAAATCTGGCTAGACCAGAACATTTATCCTGGTACAGAGAAGAGCTGGAAACACAGGGAATCCAGGACAGATACACCCCTCAAGACCAATATTGAGAGTAGTCTTACCAGGAGGGGATGGGGAAGGTGGGGGGAGAGAGGGGGAATCGATCACAATCATCTCCATATAACCCCCTCCCAGGGGGATGGACAACAGAAAAGTGGGTAAAGGGAGACATTGGTCAGTGTAAGACATGAAATAATAATAATAATTAATTAATTATCAAGTGTTCATGATGGAGGGAAAGAAATGAGGAGCTGATACCAAAGGCTCAAGTAGAAAGAAAATATTTTGAAAATGATAGTGGCAACAAATGTACAAATGTGCTTGTCACAATGGATGGATGGATTGTGATAAGAGTTGTATGAGTCTCCAATAAAATGATTAAAAAAGAAATTATACTAAGTGAGGTCAGCCAATCACAAAAGGACAAGTACAACATGAGTCCCTGAGGTAAGTATAATTAGCACGGTAGGTATAGAAGAAACGCCACGTATCTCACACTATGAGGGTTGTGGTACAGGCAGCTGGGTGGAGGACAAGCCGATCCCAAGAATGTACATGTCATTCCAACACAAAGGAGGGGGAAAAAACGAGGGAGATGATGGCACTGGGGGAGCTAGGCATTAACCCATCCAGGAGGAAGTATTGCATATGTCTGCACAGAAATGAGAGTGTAAGTGCAGACCCCACCACAGTGCACCAAACGTTGAGGGCAATGTAACCACATGAGGCAACTCACGAACAGAGAGGTCTACAGGGCTGGCCCCAGTCGGAGCCAAACTGACTCTCTCTCACACACACACACACACACACACACACACACCTGCTACAGAGGACACACTAAACCTACAGGTTGGGAAGAGGGGCCAGCCTGCCACATTCACACGGAAGCAAACCAAGAAGGAAAAGGAGAGAGTGAGGGTTTAGACCCCATATGGGCACACCGAGCCCTGAGGACGACATCGCTGCATGGAGGGGCTAAGGCATGACTGTAGGGCCGACTACAGCTCAAGACATGATGTCCCCTTGCTGGAGCATACCGCAGCAGAGGACAATACTGGGGACACATAGTGGAGAGTGAGTCCAGTCTGAACCCCACACAGTGGGGTAAACCAAGAAGGGAACATAACCTATCAGCAATGGGAGCAAAGCCAAGCCACAAAGCCCCTGAAAATCCCCCAAATAGACTTCAGGCTAGGAGGGTCAGTTCCTGGAACCCCCCAGGACCAGTCAGGAGATAGTCATAAAGGTCAGCGGACAGACATGGAATTATGTATGCTTTCTTGATAGTTACTTTTTGTCCCTCTTTTTATTCAATCTTGTGTTTTCTTTTTGTTTGTCTCCATCATCGTTGGTTTGCCTCCCTATGTAAGATAGGCGTAGGAAGCAAGGCTGAGAAGAAAGCAATGGGACCAACGATTCCGGAGGGATTTGCTGGGACGAGGCAGGAGAAGGGAGCAGTGAGCAAACAACCCCATAGACAGGGGAACAACTAAGGAATTAAAATCAACAACAAGGAGGACATAGAGATCCTCGGGGTGTTGGAGCAACAGTAATGTAGCTGAGAGGAAGTACTAAGAGGCAGAAGAAAGGTGAGTATGATGGTGGGACAGGAGAAAGGTAAAAGGAAACAGAGGAAAGATTTGGGAAGCAAAGCTATGGATAGAGGTATAAGCATAAGTGTGCACCTATGTAAATATATTAACTCATAAAAAAAGAGGTTTGGGCCTATGTACATATATTTATTTATATGTCAATACATTGAGGTAGTAGACGGACTTTGGGCCTCTGCTCAAGCCCTCCCTCAACACAAGAACATCCTGGCATTCTGTGATGCTCACCCTCCCAGCACTATGGCTGAAGACAAAATGGGTGCATAAGCAAATGTGGTGAAGAAAGTTGATGGTGCCCAGCTATCAAAAGGTATCGCATCTGGGGTCTTAAAGGCTTGAAGGTAAACAAGCGGCCATCTAGCAGAGAAGCAACAAGCCCACATGGAAGAAGCACACCAGCCTGTGTGATCATGAGGTATCAATGGGATCGGGTAACAGGCATCAGAAGACCCCAAACAAACAAACAAAACAGAACAGAACATATTGTTGAGAACAAGGGAGGGTGGGAGCAGAGACCCCAAACCTATCTGTAGACAATGGGACATCCCCTCACAGAAGGATCACAAGGAAGCGATGAGTCAATCAGGGTGAAATATAGCACCGATGAAACACACAATATTCCTCTGGTTCCTTGAGGCTTCTTCATCCCCCACAGTCATGACCCCTGACCTGCCTTTCGCTTTGGGCTAGACTGGAGCATTACACTGGTACAGATAGATAAGAGCTCACAACACACAGAATCCAGGTTAGATAAACCCCTCAGGAGCAGAAATGGGAGTAGCAATACCAGGAGGGGAGGGGGAAGGTGGACTAAGGAGGGGAGGAAAGGAGAACCCATTACAATAATCAACACATAACCACATCCCGCACACACCCTACTCCAAGGGGGATGAACAACAGAAACCATCGGTGTAAGATATGAAAATATTAATAATTGATTAAGGGCTCAAGAAGGTGAGAGAGGGAGGAGAAGAGAGAAGCCGATACTGTGGTAGTTACATAATCTGTTGTCAACTTGAGACTTAAGAGTGAAGAGGTAGAATTTAGCCTGTCAATCAGGTCATAGCTTGATGACCTCATTTAGAGACACTAAAGAGATAAATAGCTTGCTGGAGACAGGATACACAGGCTCACTCCCTGCAAGACATTACTGATGATGAGCCCAATGGAGCTATGTTAGAGCCCAGGAGCTGAAGGAGCCACATAGAAACCCTTGCCAACGCTGAGCTGCTTCCACTGCCACTGGATCCACAAGACTTCCCACCCACTGGCCTGTGATCCTCCTGCATTCAGCGTCATTGCATGTGTTGCGTGAGTCTGAAGAGGAATTTATAGATTGGTACCGGACACATGGGATAATATCAGACTTATGGACTTGATCTGGACTGGTCTGGAATGTTTTCTCAATATCCAATTGCTCTTGTGTATAAAGCTCTCTCTTATACACATAAGACTGTCTATGATTTTGTTTCTATAGTATACCCAGACTAACACAGATACCCAGGCTCACATAGAATGTAAATGTTTAGAAAATAATGATGGCAACATATGTAAAAATATGCTTGATACAGTTGATATATGGATTGTTGTCAGAGCTGTAAGAGTCCCCAATAAAATGTACACTTGTGTACATCAGCAAACTTCACCAAAAGAGTAAAAAGAGAGCCTGTAGACTGGGGAAAGCTATCTAGCAACGACACATCAGACAAAGGACTTATTACTAAAATCTGCAGAATCCTGCAAGCTTACAATAAGAAAAAAAGAAATTTCCCACTGAGGTGGTGGGCATAAAGCTTGAAGATTCACAAGGGAGGAAATCTGAATGGGCAATAAACATATGAGAAAATGTTCTGGATCATTAGCTATCCAGGAAATGCAAAATTAAATAACTATCAGATACCACCCTCAAAGAAATCCCAATTAAAAAATCAGAAAGCAACAAATGTTGGAGGGGGTGTGGTGAGATAGGAACTCTCATTCACTGCTGGTGTTCTTATAGATATATACAACCACTGTGGAAAGCGATTTGGCATTTGGAAATGAGTTACCTTACGACCTGACCCAGCAATGCCCCTTTTGGGCATATACCCAGAAGGGATAAGAAACAGACCACGATGAGACATCTGCACTCTAATGTTCATTGCTGCGCAGTTCACAATCACAAAGAATTGGAAATAAATCAAATTTCCCTCAATAAAGGAACTGATTAAAAAACTGTGGTATATACATGCAATGGAGTACTATGCATCCCTAAAAAATAGTGGTGAAAAGATGAAGCACCTTGTCCGTGGAAAGAATTGGAGGATACTATTCTGAGTGAAATTAGCCAAGCACAAAAGAACAACTACAAAATGAGCCCACTGAGATAAGTTCAAACAGCAGAACAGGCATATGGGGAAAAGCACATATCACACAGTTCCTGGGCTGAGGAACAGATAGTCTACAAAAGTCAGACAAAACCCAAAGAAACATATATCATCAGGGAGGGAGAGAATAAATACAATGCAGGTAGCACCTGTGCTGAAAGACACCTTCCTCCCCCTCTCCTATCCCTTTATGGCCCACAGAGGAGTGGAAGAAGAAAAAAGACGGCAATGAGGGACCAGGGCACTAATCCACCCAAGGGGAGGGTATTGTTTATGTCTCCACAGGAAAGGCAGAGAGTAGAACTCATTTTGGTGAGCCAATCCTTGAGGGCGATGTTCCTGCTCAGAGCAGCTCGTTCACAGAGAGGACTGCAGGGCCAGCTTCAGCTCGAGACACGATGTCCCCTCCCTGGATGACAGCACTACAGTGGACAGCACTGAGGATGCAGTTCAGGGAGAGCCGCCAGTCTGACCTGCACACGGGGCAAACCAAGAGGTGAGAGCAGCAGACCAGCAAGTGGAGCAAAGCCAAGAAGTCCCTGAAGAATTCCAATTGCAGACTTCTGACTCGGGATGCAGCACTTGGCACCTCATCTGAGCTGGTTGGGGGTTATTCACCAGGGGGCCACACTGAAAGTCTAAGGTTGTAGCGGGGAGTGGGGTGGGCACTATATCACTCCATCCCTGACTGCAGAAAGGGCAAAGGGGTTTTGTAGGAGGCGTGCCTCTTGGTCACAGATGCTGAGGACTAAAAGGGGGTAAGGGCTGTTGGCTAAGCTGGTCCCGGGATATGGAACTCTGAAAGAAATGGGGACAGGACCGACAGTTTGTAACATATCCTTATCTCTATTTAACACAGAGACACTCATTTACACTGGTCAGGATAACAGCTAGACTTGGAACTATTGGTAGGGTCTCTCTTTCTTTCTTTCTTTTTTTGGTATCTATTTAAGATAAGCAGGGTAAACAATCCCTAGGAGACAGGGGTGGACCAATGGTTCTTGGGGGGCAAGGTAGGACGTGTGGGGAGAGAAATGGTGAGCCAATAAGGACAGGGACAGGGGAATAGTAAGGGTACTAAAATTGATGGTGAAGAGGTATGGCATTCCTGGTCATGTCTGATCAATCAAAATGTATCCAAGTGGAATTTCTGAGAGGTCAATGATGGTAAACATGATGGTGGAGCAGGAGGAAAGATAAAAGAGAGGAAAGAAGAAGAAAGTAAAAATTACATATATAGGTATGGATACAGCTATGCATATATGTAAATATATAAATAAAATATTTTTAAAGAGTGAAGGGGTGGAGTTTAGCCTGTCAATCCATTCATAGCTTGATGAACTCATGTTCAATGTGTACATACATATGTAAATACAATAAAGAAGTAGATGGACTTTGGGCCTTTTAAATCTTATCTAAGTACAAGAACGATTTGTTCTAATAATATGGCACTGGATGCTACTCACCTTCCCAAAACGATCATTGAAGACAAAGCAGATGCATAAGCAAATGTGGTGAAGAAAGCTGTTGGTGCCTACCTATTAAAAGATAGAGTGTCTGGGGTCGTAAAGGATTGAAATTAAACAAGGGACCATCTAGTAGGGAAGCAACAAAGCCCACATGGGAGAAGCACACCAGCTTGTGTGATCATGAGGAGTCAATGGGAACAGGTATCAAAAGTTCAATAACAAGCAATAAGATTGACCTGACAGAACATAGACAAAATGGAGACCCAAAGCCCACCTGTAAGATAATTGGACAGTTCTTGCAGAAGGGGCACACAGAAGGGATGATATATCTAGGGTGCAGTCTAGCACTAATGAGATACATAACTATCCTCTAGTTCTTTAATATTTCCTCCCCTTACCATTAATGAGGTCTGCGTAGGTCCATTTGTATAATTAAGGTTGTTTGATGCATGAAAGCTGTCTGGGTAGACTAGAGAAACAAATCCAGAGATATTCATATGTGAATAAGAAAGAGCTCTATATAAAGAGTAATTTTGCATTAAAAAAGCATCCCAGCCCAGTCCAGATCAAGTCCATAAGTCTGATATTAGCCCATATGTCCGATACCAATCTATAAAGTCCTCTTCAGACTTAGGAAACACATGCAGTGATGTCGAATGCAAAAAGATCACAGACCAGTGGTGGGAAGTCTTGTGGATTCAGGGGTGTTGTAAGCATCTCAACTTTGGCAGGGGTCTCGTGTGGCTCCTCCAGTTCAGGCCATTAGCTTGACTCCATGGGTCTTGTCAGCTGCAATGTCTCGCACGGAGTGAGCCTGTGTATCCTGCCTCCAGTGAGCTATTTATCTCCTTAGTGTCTCCAAGTGAGATCATCAAGCTACGACCTGATTGACAGGCTAAACTCCACCCCTTCACTCTTTTTTTTTGGATCATTTTATTTGGGGCTCATACAACTCTTATCATAATCCATACATACATCCATTGTGTCAAGCACATTTGTAGATTTGTTGCCCTCGTCATTCTCAAAACATTTGCTTACTCCTTGTGCCCTTGGTATCAGCTCCTCGTTTTTCCCCTCTCTCCCCACCCCACCTCCCTCACCAACCCTTGATAATTTATAAATTATTATTATTTTGTCATGTCTTATACTGTCCGATGTCTCCTTTCACCCACTTTTCTGTTGTCCGCCCCCACCCCCCAGAGAGGAGGTTATATGTAGATTCTTGTGATCGGTTCCCCCTTTCTACCCCACCTTCCCTCCACCGTCCCGGTATTGCCACTCTCACCACTGGCCCTGAGGGGTTCATCTGTCCTGGATTCCCTGTCTTTCCAGTTCCTATCTGCACCAGTGTACATTCTCTGGTCTAGCCGGATTTGTAAGGTAGAATTCCACCCCTTCACTCTTAATCCTCTCAAATTGACAGCAGATTATGTAACTACCACAAAAGCAAAGATAGATAACCCATCAGAAACAGTTATGGGAGTAATGATTCCTTTAGGGTACAGGAAGAAGGGGTGGGAGGAAGGCGGGGAAGGTGCAACTGATAGCACTGATGACTGTATAACCCTACATGGGGGGGATGAATAATCGAATTGTAGGTGAACGGATAAACTGGATGGTGTAAGATATAGCCAAATAATATAATAATAGGGTTCCTGGGGAGTAGGGTGGGAGAGGGAGGGGATAAGGGGAAGCAGATATCAAGCAGTTCAAGAAGAAAGAAAATATTTTGAAACTGATGGTGTCAGCAATTGAACAATTATGCTTGATCTAATTGAATTATGGATTGTTGAAATATCTGTAAGAACTCTTAATAAAATTATTAATTAATAAAAAGATTTAGCCTATATAATCCTTCCATTTCTGTTCAACGCTTTCATTTCAGCGTTTCTTCCATTCATATTAGCTACTCTGTTCAAGAGCAAGTTTCAGAATCTCTTCTCACAGCCATTTTGGTCTTTTTATTCTTTCCTGTCTTTTTAATGACCTTTGCTTTCTTCATTGTGGGGATTAGATTCTATATCAACTCGATGGTACTGTGTAGAAGTAGGAGTGGAGTTGAACCTGTCAATCAAGTGGTAGCCTTTCAGTAAGGAAAGACAGTAAGAACTCCTCTCTCTGACCCCTCACTGTCCCTGCTTGCTGGGCCTCTGTGTCTGCCTCCAGGGCCAGCTCCCAGTGGGTCACAGACCTAGGGAGTCAACCAGGGAGCTGTCGGTGCCCTGCTGTGTTCCTACGACCTTGGGTCAACTCAACTCTGCACCTGCTGGCCTGTGATCTATCTGCTTCCCACTTCACCCTTCTGAGTCATCAGCCTGAAGCTTAGTGAAGTGGAAGAGGGGTCCTCTTAGCATCGGACCCACGGACTGGAATTAGACTTGGCCAAGGTGTCTTCTTTTTTTTTTTTAAATCGTTTTATTAGGGGCGCATACAACTCATCACAGTCTATACATACATCAATTGTGTAAAGCACATTTATACATTCATTGCCCTCATCATTCTCAAAACATTTGCTCTCCACTTAAGC